CTGCTTTCTTGGACTACTGTCGTGGACTCCTTTCTCCTTTTGCTGCACTTTCTGGTGCTGAGCTCTCCTGTTCGGTCGCCATGTCTGACTCCTGTCCGTCCTGTCTGATGGCTTCTATGCTGACGTCCTGCCCGGTCTCCTGTCTAGCTCTCTTGTCGCTGTTTTCTGTGCTGACCTCCTGTCTTGACTCCTGTCTGACTCCTTTGCTGACTCCTCCTGGCTCCTGTCTCTGCCTGTGTTGTGTGCTTTGTCTGACTTACTTTCTCCTGTCTCTTGCCTGCTGGTTCAACTGCCGTTGTCTGACTCCTGGTCTGAGCTACTTGTTAACTCCTTGTCTTGATGCTCCTGCCTGGCTGACTTTCTGACCTTGTCTCCTTGCGGCCTTGACGCTCCTGCGGTCTGTCTACCTGTTGTCTCCTGTCTGCTGACTCCTGTCTTGACCTTTCTTGCTCGACTGGTTTGCTGTCTGACTCCTGTCTGACATCGCATGTCGACAGTACATGTGAAGGTGAGCTGCCCACACTGCCACAGTTCTGACGTCAGACTCATGCCACACACTGTCTTCTTGCCACTCTGCGTCTCCATTCTTGGTCCTCCTGTGGGGTGATTCTGTCTGCTCGCTTGGGGTCGTGACTAACCCGGGGAGGGCCTCGTATTATTGTCTCCGTCTGTACGTCATGAGCTCTTGTCTGCACTCTGTCTGACTTTCCTGTCTGACTCCTGCCCTGGCTCCTGTCTGACTCTGCTCGACTGTCTCCTGTCTGACTCCTTGCCTGTCTCCTGTACGGACTCTATCTGTGACTCCTGTCTGGAACTCATGTTCTTGACTTCCTGTCTGGGGCTCCGTACTGCTCCTGTCTGCTCCTGTGCTGGCTCATGGGTGATCCTGGTCTGGTGCTCTCTGACTCCTTGCCCTGTCGCTCCCTTGTCGTGACTCCTGTTCCTGTCTGAGCTACTTTGGTCTGACTCCTGTGCTTTTGAGGCTCCTGTGACGTCCTTCTGAGTCTTCCTGGCTGACTACTTTCTGAACTACTGGGTCTGATGATGAAAGACTGAGGACAGACTGAGGACAGAGGACAGACTGAGGACAGAGGACAGACTGATGAAAGACTGAGGACAGACTGAGGACAGATGACAGGCTGAGTACAGACAGAGGACAGGCTGAGTACAGACTGAGGACAGACTGAGGACAGACTGAGGGCAGAGGACAGACTGACGGACAGACCGACAGACGGACAGACCGACAGACAGACGGACAGACAGACAGACAGACGGACAGACCGACAGACAGACAGACGGACAGACAGACGGACAGACCGACAGACGGACAGACCGACAGACAGACGGACAGACCGACAGACAGACGGACAGGGACAGACAGACGGACGGACAGACAGACAGACAGACAGACAGACAGACGGACGGACAGACAGGCAGACGGACAGACAGGCAGACGGACAGATGGAGGGACAGACGGACGGATAGACGGACAGACGGACAGACGGACGGATAGACGGACGGACCGACGGACGGACGGACGGACGGACAGACAGACAGACAGACAGACGGACGGACAGACGGACAGACGGACAGTGGGACGGACAGACAGACAGACCGACAGACAGACCGACAGACAGACGGACGGACGGACGGACAGACAGACGGACGGACGGACGGACGGACAGACAGACGGACAGACGTTCAGACGGACGGACAGACAGACGGACAAAGAGACAGAGATAAATAGATAGATAGATAGATAGATAGATAGATAGATAGATAGATAGATAGATAGATAGATAGATAGATAGATAGATAGATAGATAGATCGATAGATACTTTATTGATCTCAATTTGGGAAATGTTTGCGTACAGATACAGAAGTAAACAAAAGATACAGTTCAGAGAAACAGTACAACTCAGTAGAAACACAGTTTATAAAAGCTAAAACATCTGCCGCAAAAACAGAAGAGAAGAGAGGCAATTATTCCTAATGACCAGGCCTCTTCAGACAGAGAGAAACCCTCACCTCTCTCTGAGCCTCTTACAGAAGGAGTCAGGAGGTCGAGGATCAGAACCTTTTTCCTCAACCCTGCGGCCTCCTGGAGGAACGAGAGAGGAGAGAAAACAGATTAAATGAGAGCGAGGCACTCAGGCAGCAAAGGAGAACAATTAAATATTGAAACGGGTTAACCCTTTGTCCCGGCTCTTCATCTCATTCCCACATTCCTCTAGTGCTGCTTACAGATCCTTTCATTACCATAACTCCCATTAATATGATAATTATGTGTGTGTGTGTGTGTGTGTGTGTGTGTGTGTGTGTGTGTGTGTGTGTGTGTGTGTGTGTGTGTGTGTGTGTGTGTGTGTGTGTGTGTGTCCGTTTGACCAGATAAGCGGTAATTATGAGGCTGAGTTGTTCTCAAAGTGCTGGGACTGAAGTGGAGTTGCAGACAGATTCATGCAGAGGAACTTAAACTGCAGAGAATGTGTTTCTGCTGCCGGCAAAATGACATGATCAGAGCAGTGAGAGGGGAGTTGTGGTTCAGACAGATAAACAATGGGCTGAAATTAGGACAAAAAAGATGGTTATTTTCCTATTGTATATGAATATTGGATATCTATTTATTTGAAAGTCTCACTTCTTTTAGCTTTAGCTTCAATGTCACATGACACAATGGCTCCAAATCAATGCTGCATTGTATTCCTGCACTAAACAAAAAGGGCACACCTTTTTTTATTGGATTTGTGTCCAAGAAGTTAGACATTTCATTACTTTATACAATATAACTACACATACAGAGTTGGGCTGTAGTCAATGCTTTTATATAAGTTAACTTCTGCAGACTGCTGTCGTTGTGTATTGCATATAATAATAAGTGTTGCTTTGTGCAAAAACATCTGATTGATTGCACTAAAACAATGATTAAAAAGTGTCTATTACTGGTCATATGTAGTGTATAAAGGAGTAAACATGAGTATGTGCAATTTGTATAATGGCTTGTTCTTCATGACAAGGCTTAGAGAGGGCAAGAAATACAATAAGCTTGAATAAGGAACACTGTGGTCTGGAAATATTCTGTGTAAAGTTAAGCTTACCTTTGCCACAGCCAGACCCCCTGCCCCCCCTCCAATAACCAGCATGTCGTAGTCATAAGGGCCCATCGTCGGCCCCGTTGGAGGGTCCATGTTTCACAGCTGTAAGACCCGACAGTGACCACCCCCCCTCTGCTGTTAGCTCTGGAGGAACAGACACAAAAACACAGTCAAAAACACTATCAGTGAGGAGGGACTTTGGCCCCTGGGGCTCTTCCTGGGTCCAGGATACATGACTGGATTAAACTGGATGATGTCCTCTGACTGCCATTTTTTGAATGTTGATTGAGAAGGCAAAAAAAAACTTCTACCAGAAGAAAATGCAGTTTTGTTTTTGTGTTTTATGCCAATATGGAAAAATAACAGCATTTACACTTTGAGAATGCACATTTTATTATTATAGTGTGAATTAAAACACCTGTCAGACATGTAAACACATATAGTACTCATTCATAACATGCACATTGATATTTAGCAAAAACTACACTACTTACTTAGTTAAAAGTTCACTGAATTGCTGCCATTATATCTTTTAGGGACGTTTTTTATTAAAGTCTGACATAATCATATTGAGCAACCAGTCTTGCCAGAATTCATTTGAATGTCATTTTAGGTTTTTATTAAATATTCATTGTAACATAATAGTTTTACTGACAAATGTGCAGTATATTGATCTGTTTTAATATTGTTTTGTGATACAGAGACTATTTCATGTTTTTATTGCTGTCTTTATTGCTGCCTGCCCAGGGACTGCAGATGGAAATTAGCCATTAGCTCAAATCTTGCATACATTATATCTTCTTTTGTTGAGATTCATGTATTTTATACATGACTTTTGTTCAATTAAGACATAAAAAACGATAGAGTAAAAATAAAACTGTATTTAAACGAGCCTTGTGTTTTCACGGTGAATTAGCGACATCTAGTGGTGAATCTATTGAATGGCAGGTTGATTTCTGTGAACCGCTGTTTTTACCAAGATTCCTACATGCTTCGGGAAGAAACAGCACAGCAAATAAACACATCAAACTATCTGAAACCATTTGATGCAAAGACATTTGTAATTAAACTGTTTTCTGTTGGCAGGAAAAGCTGCTCAGGTACACACAGCCTACCGTATGTTTGTCCAAAATGAGTGGGGTGAAATTGTTGCACTTTTCTGAACTTAATGGGTTCTTAATAGTCCTTAACAGACTTTCAGTGAGTATGTTGTCCTTCAGTGCACCACGTTAAACACCTAACGCTTCCACAGAAACATTTGCAGGTAAAAACTGAGCAACTTTCTTGATAGAAAAGCATAGGGAGGGTGAAACATATTTGGAAAACCTTGGAGGTTAAACGAGATGCGTTCACGTGAAGCCACCAATATAGGTTTTGTGTTTACAGAGCGCGATCACGACCAAAACATGTTGCTCTGAAACGCTCTGAAAGTGTAAAATTCCGTGTGTAGTTTCTCCACAGACGTCGGAAAACAGCTACTATGTGTTAAGTGAATTAACTGTGTGAAAACATTACAATTACTACAACCAAAGATGTTCTATGTCTACAGTTCCCACAGCTGGATTTAAACTGTGACATGTAAAATCGGAGCTTGAGACGAGTCCGTGAATGCAGCACGGCCCTCTACTGGTTAGAAGCGGAACTACAACCACGGCTACGCGCTGGGACTGGTCCTTTCGCAGCCATTTTCTGTCCAACCAAACAGCCGTCTGAGGAAGGTAACCAACCAGGGCTTCATTGCAGGTTTGTGTCTCTCTCCGGCCAATGATTGCTAACCGATTTCTCGTTAGCTTCGAATGGAAATGTCCGTGTCTGACTGATTTTTTTTATTTGTTGTCTGAGTGAATGAGGGCTGCTCATCAGGAGGAAGTTTCAACTTTAAAAACAATTTAACATTTCGGCCGAGGCCACGTCTTCTTGCTCCAAAAGAAACAAAGAAAAACAGGCCGTCCGTTTCTGCAGGCGTTAGATTCACAAGGGAAATTTGTTCAAGGGACACTATGTATCTGAATATGTTAACTTCAGAAGGTAACAGCCTTTCTTTATTATGCTGGGCTCATTATTTTGTTATATTAATACCAGCAAATGGGCTAACTATCTAGCTCCATTCGTTGGTTGACACTGTTAGCATTATGCTAGTTAGCATTCGAAAGCTAAACACAGACCCATGTATGTAGCATGTTGCTAAATTAAAGCTAACTGGCCTTGCCGCGCTAAACTAGGAGGTTTTACAATTCAGTTAAAATATTAACTGTGCTTCACAATGCCAGTTTCCCAAGAAAAATATCCATCTGAGAACCGAGTTTAGTGTGAAAATTCAGCCAAAATTACAAGACATATTATGCTTATAGAGGGATAATAATACAAGAATACATTCAGCTTTATTTTTTAATAATAATAAATAATTGATCTGAAGAGTAAAAGGAGATGAATGTGAACACAATATCCACTAAAGACAAGTCAATGGGTCTCAGGAGAATGTATTCCCCCAGGCCAAAAAACACACATGTCATCATATTAAACTGCGTGAATTGTGAAGGGGGAGGGGGGTGTTTTGGTAGCATTCCTTATAAACCTTTGTAAATATCATCCCAACGAGGCCACACATAGTTTCTGTCTCTAAAATAGCAACATATGGTGTCTTTCCCCAACATCTGGAACAATACCAGACCTGATTTTGGTCCAAGTCAGTGAGCTAATGCATTGAGACAAAGCAGAACACACACCTGGTTCATTTCTATTCACAATTTTCATTGGGGTTTCTTTTACATTTGTTTTATGTCTTGTATATATTTATATTGCTTTGTTTGAGGAACCTGTGACCCAAGTTTGTCTACTACACTGTAGCTATGTATATGACATTAATAATAATACATTAGTTATATAGCGCTTTTCCTGGGGCTCAAAGCGCTTCACAAGCAAATAAAGAACTACAAGAAAAAGAACAACCAAATCAATAAAGCCTTTGAATCTTCTAACATGATCTTTTAACTAAACTCAAATAACATTTGAAGTGACACTTTACAAGTTCCTACATGTTACGTCATTAATAACAACTAATAGACTATCAAAGCACTCAGAAGTCCTAAGTGTATGACTTTGTGTTCAATCTGGAAACCCCCTTTTGTCTCGTTTTGAGGATTTGCGCTTTTCTTTTAGCTTGAAAACATAATTTCCATTTGATATGCATTGAAACCATCTGCTCGTTGGTGTGGTTCCATGAAGTGAATGTGAGATGCTTGCTTTAGACTTTGCACCTATATTGCTATAACTCCAGATGATAAGGTGTGTGTTTGTGTTGCAGATGGACGGGGACAACTCAACCACCGACGCCTCCCAGCTGGGCATCACTGGAGAGTACATGGCCTCCGGTCACTACGTCCTCCAGTCCCAGGAGGGTGAGTGTATGTCATCAGAACGCTACCATCAGTGTTGTGTTTCAGCTCCGGTCCCAAACAGCCTATTCTAACTCTAGCTGTGTTTGTTTCCTGCGTGTAGACGATGGAGAGGAGAATATGAACGACCATGACGACAGTGGCATTAAAGAGAACTTCAGGGAGCAGGACATCTACCTCCCTATCGCCAACGTGGCTCGCATCATGAAGAACGCCGTCCCTCAGACCGGAAAGGTTAGTAAAGAGGGAATAATCCAAATGTTCAAGCTGTTAGATGAAGTTCAACAATAACAACATATAAAGCAAGTCATTATATATACATAAGTATGTGAGGGATGGAATATTAAATGTGAAACTGAATATGTCAAATGCACGGTGTGATTTTAAGTCCAAGAGAAGCTAATGGAGCAGAGAGTTCTCCTGCTGTGTCTTTGGTAAATATCTGTTTCCTGTTTTCCACAGATTGCAAAAGATGCCAAGGAGTGTGTGCAGGAGTGTGTGAGCGAGTTCATCAGCTTCATCACGTCGGAGGCGAGCGAGCGCTGCCACCAGGAGAAGAGGAAGACCATCAACGGAGAGGACATCCTGTTCGCCATGTCCACGCTGGGCTTCGACATGTACGTGGAGCCGCTGAAGCTCTACCTGCAGAAGTTCAGAGAGGTGAGACACACAGTGCAACACCAAGGGGCTTTATTGGCACGACCACAAGGCGTTATAACAGAACAAAGACGAAAAGAAACACAAAACATAAATGTCAACAATACATGTGGCTCAACAGCAAAACATACTGGGTGTTTCTCAATGTCGAGGAAGGATGCTCCAGAGCCACTATTTCAAGCATACTACGTCATCGAGTGCCGCCGAAGGACTGTTCCAATGTCAAGCATACTTGGAATTCTTCCGATGCCGGCGTCCTTCGTAGCGAAAATGTTTGAGGCTGCACATGTGTCGACTCCGCGGTCTTAAAATCCCCACAATATTCTTTGGACCCCGACCTCCAGCCCCTCTGGATATTCTGGGCTCTCTCAATGAAAACACCCTCCCCTCTGTCATGAACCTTGGAGTGACCTTCACTAGCACTTTTAAATTCGACAAGCAGGTCAGCACCGTAGTCAAATCCTGCTTTTTTTAAATAAGACTATTGGCCAAGACCAAGTCGTTTTTATCTTTTAAAGACCTAGAAAGATTTATTAATGCCTTTGTTACCTCGAGACTGGATTACTGCAACGCTCTGTGTGTGGGTATGGACCAGGCCTCAATTAGACGCCTGCAGCTTGTCCAAAACGCAGCTGCACGTCTTCTGACTGGCCACAAAAAGCGTGACCACATCACCCCAATTCTGGCCTCACTGCACTGGCTTCCAGTTCGGTTCAGAATTGATTTTAAACTCCTTTTTATTTGTTTTCAAAGCCCTAAATGCGCTGGCTCCGGCCTATACAGCCGAACTCCTCCATCGCTACACCCCAGCCAGAGCTTTAAGGTCTGCTGACCAGCTGCTGCTGATAGTACCCAAGACCAGGCTCCAAACCCGAGGGCACCGAGCCTTCGCAGCAGCTGGCCCCAGGCTCTGGAACACTCTGCCCCTCCATGTGAGGTCGGCCCAGACCCTAGAGGATTTTTAAATCCTCACTAAAGACCCAGTTCTTCTTCTCTCTGGCCTTCTAGTCAGAGCGGAGAATGACACATGACTATTCGTTGTGTTTTTGTTTTTTATATCTCTGTTGTAAATGATTGTCTTTTATTGTAGTAATGTGTTTTTGTTACATGTACAGCACTTTGGCTCGACAAAAAAATCGCTTTTAAATGTGCTATATAAATAAAACTTGATTTGATTTGATTAATGGGAAACTGTTAAAGTGCCGTTTGCCTGATTTCTAATGAAGCCGTTTGTTATCATATCCCATAACCAATAGCATTTTCTGCTGCTGATTGCAACGATCAACATGTGACTGCAAAGGACTGGACATCAGTAGTCACATCACATTATGCTTATCCGATGCTTTAATGCAAAGGGACTTATGTTGACCCACGTTGCTGTTTAGTTCCAGATGTGCTCAAATGTGCTTCTCTTTCAGGCCATGAAGGGGAGAGGGGTATTCCTGGAGTTTCTGTGGGAGAGAAACCTGGGGGAAGACTCACGGACGAAAGCTTCTGTGAGTATAAACGCTTCAGAATGTATCTTCTTTGACCTAGTCAATTTGTGTTATGCCGTTGAAGATCAGTCTCAATAAAAGCACAGTTCTGCCTTCATCAGCAAATCCCATGCCAGCGGGGATATAATCACAGCAGAGACGGTCAGCAGCAGAACGGTCATGTTGTACACCACTTCATTCAACAGGTACACCCACTTACATTGAGAATTCCCTTTTATTCAGTAAAAAGATTGGATGTGGGAAGTTATATGCATTTGTAAGAACGTAAGAAAACAAACCTTGTATTTATATACAGGGGGCACATAACTTGTAATGGCGCATTTCCACTCTAGGCATGCTAGTACTGGGTATAGTTTTTTAGTCCTTTGTGTAGGCCAGGCTCACTTATGGCTGGTCGTTTCCATTTACAGGTTTAGTCTGGGTTAGTACTTATAGGTAACGCGAGTGTATGGCGTTAAGTCGTGGAGTCATTCTTCAATGAGAACCACAAAACCAACATCAGCCGTTAGCTGGTTAGGCACTCAGAGCTCCACGTGCTCCGTCATATCTGTTTCACAAACTAATACAAAAGTTTAAACAAGTCCAAACCACAACTGTCTGTGTCATGAGAATACAGTCACTGTTTGTTATTTATGTCTGGTATGCCGTTGGTTGTGAGGTGTGGACGTCGGAGCTTATACAACTTAGCTTAGCCGACTTCATCAGTAAAACACGCATTTTTAAAGGTGTGCGCCTCTCTGAGGACGGCTCGATTTTAGGCGAAAAATCATAATCTTCGGATTATTGGGGTCATAACTTGAAATCAGATTTTTTAAAAAAACGATTTCCATTTACTTTGAAAACATCCATTATTGGAAGAAAAAAATGAACAGTAGTTTTAACATTGATTAGCCTGACTGTNATGGTCTGCAAGGTCAAACCCACCCCCCTGCCCAAAACGCCTCCATTGGACTCCTTTGTTTACTTCCCTAACATAGTGACATCACTATGTAACCCTCATGCTCATATTGGCTAGCTCTCCAACACATTGTATGTAATAGGCTAAGGGGCGGGACATTTCTAAGCAGTTGACAAATCACAACAAAGAAACTTCACTTTGATAAAACTATCCACTTTTATCCAGAACTATCCAGAGACCTATTTTTCCCACCACAGTGACGCTCTCTGAGGGAATAGAAATGTTTACTAGAGCCCACTTTTCTATGGACAGTCCTTTACAATTCAAAGCAGTTTTGTGTTATCTGTCAGTGCAGATAAAAATAGAGACAGATGATGAATTCTGTTTTGAAAAATTACAGCATTTTATTCACAGGACAATTCAGAACAAATAGTTTGATTACATCAAGCGTTTCCCAAACACGGCAGGAAAACAACTCAGAGCAAACAATGTGCTCTCTCTTTCTCTGCCCGTCTCTCTGCCATTTTCTTTTTCAGATAAACACTCATTTTCTATGTAAATGTCACCGACCCCTGCGATAGAAGGGGAAACGGATCCGGAGCGATGTGAGGGTGAACAGAACTGATATAAGTTTTCCATTTGAAGATAATGACGCGCCGACATGCACACACATGCTGAGAAAACAATAACACATGAGCTCAGTGAACTGCCACCTCATCTGTCCCTGTGACAGTGTATACAGCAACCAGGCAGTCACTTCCTCCAGATAAACTCACACAATGTGGCTGTGGTGTGAACAAAAACACCATTTATATGCTGCGCTGCCTAGCTTCTGCAATAAGACACATTTCAGCAATATCACATCATCTAGCTCCAGGCACAAAGAACTGTGTACTGTGAGAAATATTTATTTTTTATCCTCACAAGCCTCATTTCAAAGAATTACAGCAAACATGAACACTCAGGGGTGGACAGTATGGATAAAAACAACTTTGATCACTATTCTATAAACACAAGTGTTGATGTTAAAGTCATGGTTTTTGCAGAATGTAATACATGACAAAACAATGATGTTTTATTTCCTGAAATAGAAGCAGAACTGCCCAATTTGCAACATTGGGTGTTTAATTAAAGTGCATGTGCATGACAAACACCTACAACTTCCACTCAAGGAATACAGAAACAAAATAAGGAACACGAATCGCAAATCATGAAGTTTGCATATGTAACTTACTAACTTTAGCTTTGGTCTCCACTTCCTCGTTAAAAAAAAAAATGTAACCTTTATTTAACCAGATAAAAAAGCATTGAGTTAAAATCTAATTTTCAATGCTGACCTGGCCAAGGAGGCAGCAACGTTACACATAACACAAACATATAAAATACAGAGAACATAACTAAGAAAACAAAAGACGAAAAAGCAGTCCCTACATTGTGCACATTAGAACAGTAAGAAAGGTACACTACTTATTACTGCAAGACCAGCTGGTGGTAAAGACCTCAGACGACTTCAATTTAAAACATGCTATTGAGACAAGTGCCCTCAGTTTGAGGTGTGATTGGAGGTCATTCCAAGACCAAGGACCATAATAAAAAGACTCCTTTTTCCAGCCTCAGTCCGCACAGCAGGTACCTGGACCCGTATCCTTACTAACTGTCTCCTTACTTAATAATTGCTCCATTAAGCCCATGTTAACTAGCTAGTCGCTAACTTTGCCTGTTTTTGTTGCTGGTGGCCAGTGGCGGCTCCAGAGTACTTTTGTTGGGTAATGTAGGGCTAACCCATACAGTGGTGGGGCTCAAGTCAGTATTTGCAATGTAATTACTGTATCAATCCAAATTGAACTGTATGAAATAAAAAAGCACATTTGTCTTGTAGTAAATAAAAACGGCGACCTGGAGCCAATCCTGCAATTTCCCCACAGGTGAAAGAGTTGACATGCTGAAAACCCAACCCCTGCAGGGGGGTCCTGGGGGAATTTCCCCCAGGAGATTTTTTTAAATACTAACATAAAATACACATTCTGGTACTCTCTTGAGAAGAAAAATAAATAAATCTATTACTGCGACAATTTAAAAAAATGAATGCCATTTTAGTTTTTTGTTACTTTGTTCTGAAAGCTGAACCTGCTGCTGCTCACAGAGAGAAGAGGCTGTGTGAATTACTTTACTTTGTGGATAAGGGTGGATAGCCCCCATTGTTCTGTGTGTCAAAATGAAAGACAGTCCACACACCTATCAATCATCAAACCGTGGGGTCTTATTTCATTACGTGTTGATTTCTATCAACACGTAATGTTGTATCGGTGTATACTGTAGCCTATAGAGATGCACTACAGCAAAAGTATTCTCCGTCGGGACTTCCTGCAACAACACCACGCCGTTATCGTGATTCTGATTGGCCAGAAGACATTATCAAAGATGTTCTATTGAGAAGACGATCACTACGTGACAAAAGTTTTCAAAACCNAATAAAGGAAACGAACGAATACGACCAAACTACTATAGTAAGTTTAGTCACTATAGTAACTTACTTAACTTAGTCTTGTTCTCTATTCCTCGTTAAAAAAAAAAATGTAACCTTTATTTAACCAGATAAAAAAGCATTGAGTTAAAATCTAATTTTCAATGCTGACCTGGCCAAGGAGGCAGCAACGTTACACATAACACAAACATATAAAATACNATTGGCCAGAAGACATTATCAAAGATGTTCTATTGAGAAGACGATCACTACGTGACAAAAGTTTTCAAAACCATTTCTAGTCTTCGGTATTTCCAGACAAGTGGCTACTGAAATCAATCTTACTAACTGCTGTCTGTGCAATTTACTCCGCACAAGTTGGCGGACTTTATTTTGCTTACTTTAACATCATCTTTCAAGGTGGGGCTAAGCCATATCTTGGTATGGGTGCAGCCTACCCCAGCCATACCCTGGCACCGCCACTGCTGGTGGCATATGCCATGAGAGCTCTAAGACTCAATCAAAACAAGTGAAGTTGTCGGATTGAAATAACCCAAAAACAAACAAGTTTAAAGATGCTCATAAAGCGATGTAGAGCTAGGGAACTACATATTTGGTTTGATAACTCAATGTGAGTTCATAACAACAAGCAATTCCTCCCAGAAAGAAGACAGTCATTTGATTTAGGTTGACAAAGAAATATTGATTATATCTACTTTAAGAGAGCGAAAGTATATATTTTCCATAGAAGACATTAATACTGCCGACATGCAGCAGCTCCAACATTCTCCGCAGCTTCAATAATCAATATTGATTCAATTATAGTCACTCCTGTAAATTCAGGAAATGTGGTCAAATGACCACCTGATGATTCTGCAAACTGACCCACATACTGTACATGTCTCTTGAACACACTGAAGCACGACGACACATTATTTCAAGTTTAGGACTTAGAAAGGAAAACCACAACTTCTTTAAACTATTTGAAGTGCAGAAATCAAAGCATGCTGTGTATTGCTCTTGAGAGGGGTCTTTATTTCGCTTCATCTGGAAACAACTCTCCTCTCTACGTGTCACTGCGTTAATGTGTGTACTGTGTAAAAGTTTTTGTGAGGGGAGCTTGCACTAAGCTACAAAGATCAAGGCAGAGTGTGTTGGTGTGTGTCTTTGTACATATGCTCAAATGCATGTGTGTGTTTTTTTGGAGGACTGAATGACACAGAGGGGAGACTTCAAAGCAGCTCTTTCATCAGACAAAGAAGAGAAGTAAAGACAAAGCAGGCACCTGCACACTCTGTTTGTCTCTCTCATGACCATGACTGTCTTTGTCTGTCTGACTATAGAGGACTAACTAGCCTTACATAATACGGGTTATCTTAACAAAATAAAGGCGGTGTAGAGTTTCAGTGAAAATGAGCCTCATGTCTGCCAGCCTGAGCTTTTTGTCTCCAGGTTGTTGCATCACGATCCACAGCAACAGATGGGCAACACTGCCACTTCTGAACATCTTTGTTGGCAAGTTAAGGCAGTTCATTTGGAGGAAAATAAAGTCAATAGGCTGATGATTTCAGAGAAACTTATTTTCTAACAATCCAAGAAACTTGAGCTAAGCCTTAGGGGCAGACTTATCACTATAACCTTGCCGTTCAAAAAGCGCCTCCAGCAGTGAGCAGGGAGCACTGGGAGGCAGCAGCCGAGAGAAGAAGAGAAGCGCTGGAGGACATGAGCTCACAGAAAAAGAAGAAGTTATTCAGTACAGAAAATAAAATAATAGAGAAGCACCGATTCATCGCCCACTGACTGGAATTGGTCATCAGCCTCATGTAGTTTGTGTATAAATATAATAAAATACAAACAACCACACACTGATGTCATGAACTAAGGACTTAATAGATGGTTTGAGATAGACAAAACAAAGTTGACTAAAGGCCTACACACACAGCATAGGAGAATTGTCTTAGAAATGTAAATAGTATTTGATTTGAAACCATTTCCCATTGGACAAAGAGCAGACTAAATCATCAAACAACCTCTGTTCAATACTTTAATTCTACCCTATGGTAGTTTATAAAAAGATTTACATATCGTGTTCATAATCAATAAACATACTATGTAGTTATTTATCCAAAAAAGGTATAGAATCATCTGTTGATCCTTGTTCTTAGAAAGGAAGAACATCAGGAGAGGGTAAGATCAGCGGGTAAATAAATAGCAGGTCAGACGTGTACAAGTTTGCCAAGTTGCAATCGTTGCATTTCTACTCACTTAAGCACCCAAAACCCTTTCTTTTTTTTTGGTAACTTTAAACAGAAATACCTTTTAATACTCTTAAAAGGTTGGAACAGTTGTCATCGAGCTGTGACCTGTCAAGTGTTGATGGTGCAATTTGAGAGTAGCATCACCTCGTGAAAAGTGACGCCAAACTGTCATCCCACTCTGTTTCTCATGACACACACGCGCACACATCTGCAGTAGTGTCACCATGGGTTCTAAAAATAATGTTGCTATGTATTGCTTGTATTAACAAGAAAGGGGAACTTCCTTTCCTCATGTAGCTCATACAGAATGTAGCCTGCATGTCCAAGAAAAATACTTTATACTATCAGAAATATGCACTTGCTAATGAGAATCAGAAATACAGACACTGTCAACATGAGTAATTGCTACAATATGTTTCTTCTGAACTTTAACAGCTACAGCTCCAGTGTTTTGTAGGTACAAAGTTAAAAACCGTGACTCTTGAAGTATACACAAAGCTGACACTGCTGCATAGTGAACTTGTTTAAGCAGTAGTAGTATTATTACCCCTGCTGGTAGACGGCCTGGTGCGGCTGCGGGACCGGCTTCGCTGACGCTGCAGTCGAGACTTGCCCAGGAATCTGTAGTAGTACGAGGGTCTCCCAGATCCCTTTCTCGTGACCCCTGCCATGGTGCTAGTTTCCCCTCTGAAACCCACCAACAACCAGGTATCTCTGCAGCACTGAAAACACGTCCTCTTGAATCTGGTTTCAGTGCAGATAAACTCCAGGCAACATTCTCATGAACTCTGTGTATTGCAAACTTCACTCAGAGTCCTCAAGCACACATTACTTTGAAGTCCGTGTGTTGTGATCAAATCCAATCCATTGTGAACGTGTTTCCCATTGGAGAAAGAGAATATTGAACCATCAGACATGCACCTCTGCTCAACACTTGTGTCCTGTCTTACGGTCCTGTCCCACAATCTTAGATCTAAGCTCCACCTTTGAACACTCCCCCTCAAAGTTTCCCACAGCTAGATCCCAAAGGCATGATGTCCGGAGCCTACTGTGTATCCTGAATGACAGGAATGC